CCCCAAAACCCCAAAACCCCAAAACCCCAGTGTCGTAAAATATCATGAAATAAAAAATTTATGAAATTAAGATTAAAGAGCCATTCAAAATTGGTATGGAATTGTTCAAATGATCTATAATTCATTTTTGTCTAAATTTCCTTATGCTTGTCCTAGGTGCCATTGTAAAAGGTATTTATATAGGAAACTACTATTGATTCATAGAATTTCTTTTACTATGTTAGCTAATTAATCTCATATCCTTCTGTGCTTTAATCATATCAGGGTTGGTAGTTTCTGGTCTATGATGATTAGAGTATTGATTGATTTGTTACAGATTTTACATAATTGATATAGATCTGATACGTCTATGATTTTCTCTGCTATTATCTCGTGAGTTTAATTTAGTCCCCTATAGTGAGGTAATTGCAGTGTAGGGCGTCCCTATTGCCAACTATCTTTAGTCAACTGAATTCTTCTGGTAAAGTAGATTTGGAAGTGAATCGATTGTCATCATTTACGAATCAACCCCTCTACTTATAGAATTTCTCTCTGTTAATTAAAGTTTAGACTTTCCATTCCATTTGACTTATACTATTTAAGACTTAGTTTTCTAAAGTAGAGGAATCTTGCTAGGACTTAGCTCTTCTTAATTATGAAGAGTTGGATCAGGAAATTTTTTCACCGGGCTCTTTCTATCTATTTATATGCTATTTCGTTTTGACCTTTTCATAAGTATACTGCTGATAGTTTTCAAGATGCTTGAATTAAAAGTCCTTTCTATCTAAAGTCTGTCTTACTTTTCCTGTTATATGCTATCTCTTTAAGTAAGAGGGTAATGTGTATATTTAGTCTATGCAATTTGGTAGGTCTGCAAGGATTCAAATAAGTAGGAATTAGGAGAATTTATTGTAAGTTCATCTGGCTACAGTAAAGACTTTTGATAGTAGTAGAAGTTATAATAATACACTCTTTCACCAATCTTGACCTCAGATTTGAAGTCTAATGCATCCTCTGTAAAAGCTAGCCAAGAGCAATCCTTTTTAAATTTATTTCTATCTATCTATTTGCATATCATCTCATTGAAATATTTCCTTTACCAGTGTATCAAATGCTTAATATATTCAAAAGCAGGGTGCTTCGAGTTTCTTATCATCTAAATTCTATCCTCATATCTAATCAAATCTGAATCATCAATGCCAAACAATTCAAAAGCCAAAAGCTATTAAGCAATCCATAGTAAATAAGTTTCATTCCTCTAATCACTCTTAATCAAACCTAGAGCTTAACCCATCCTCAAGACATGAAAAGGCTACATATTTGAAAATGTCTCCTAATACTTGAATAAATGTGGTGGCTGTTTAGGGTTCCCAAATTAATGACAATAAAACAGGAAGCTTTCTCTCTTCTTTTCAACCAATACATCCACCTCATCTTATTGGCTGAGTGGAGATAAAGGCTCTATCCTCTCTTATCGTTCTTAGTCATGAGTTGCGTAGATTTGAGTATCTAATCCAAACTTATTACATTTATTTTTAATGCTGTTAAAGTGACTCTTAAAGTTCAAGATTTTTTATTGGCTAATAAGCCTTGGAGTTTTACTTTATTATTCATTGACATTATGTCCTTAATTATTTTCATCAGATTATTACTTCTTGCTATTTTTGAATCTAAGTAGAGATTGAATGAATGGTCTATTTTTCTAGTTTATCTTGGTTTGATCTTCTTTTTACAACCCTATTGGACTATTTCCTTAGGTCATACTTTAATAGAACTACAAGATTTTGAACTATTCAAGATCAAAACTTGACTCTGTCTCATTTTCCTCCTCAATGACATTTTCTTTCTGATCTATGTTTAATTTGAAATCCTAACTGCCTTTCCTTAAAGTTTATCTTCTTCTTGAAAATTTGCTATTTAACCCTAGCATATCTAAATATTTCCCACCATTTTCTCTTAAAAATTCACTGATCTTGTGCTTTTACCCTTCAGGAACATCATCACTATCCTGCGAGTCAAGTCTTAATAAATCAATTTGATTTTAGATCGGATCTAATATTTAGGCACCAATTTTACTGCTTGATCTCCGACTTAAGTGTGAATTTCTTTTGATAGGGCTTCCTACATTTGATTTTTTTGGAGTTTGGCTCATCTCATTTTGATCATCTTCTCTTTTATCAATTGATCCTTCAAAATCTCCTTGTCTTCTTAGTCTTATTTCTTTTAATTTCATGTCCCGAACTGCTTCCTTATCAACCTTTGATTTTATATTTGAGCTTTGCCCTACTTTAAAGTAGTCCTCTAGTTTCTGTACCTTTTCAACCCCACCATAATGCTTAAGATTTCTCAACTCATGCGCTGTCAAGTTCTCAGTATCTCTCATCGGTTTTCTTCTCTACATTCTTTTAGACTTTTAGCTACCCACAGATGCATAAGATCCCTCTGAATCAGTTTTAAATGATGAATCTGTTTCTGTATCAGATACAAATGAAGATACTGACTAGTTTGGATCTTTTTTATCTCCTTCAGACTTTGTTTCCTATCTCTACAACCCATCTTCAAGATCTTAGTTCTTTAATTCACCTCCAATAATGGATTTTCTAGAAGTTTTTTTAAAATGTCTTAAGAAGCCAAATTAGCTTTTATTATATTTGATTGGTGGATTAGCACCATCCTTTATTCTTTAGTGAGAATTTTCATGGCTTTGTGCTTCATCCTACTCCTTTATTATTTGACTTTAGATCTATGCCGCAACATCTTAAATTCTACTTTAGATTAGTTTCAAGCTATTTAGATTATTTTTGTCTAAAGTCATAATTGATGAATCTTTCTTGGTTGGCTTACGCTTAATAGTGACTTTCTTAGCAAAACCTCCTTAGGCATTTTTTACGAAAACTAATCCAGCAATATCTAAAATGGAATTTCGACGTCCAAATGCAGGATTATTGTTGCTTTAAGGGCTTTCTATTTTTGGCTATCTAGTTAGGCCTTTTTATCCTTTTGCTAATAGCCTATAATTCTCAAGTATTCTATCAAACTCTAGTGTAATATCTAAGTCATCAAATTTTTCATCTGCAATCTTCTCAAAATCAAAAGGCTTTAAGTTATTGTCCTCATCATAAATACTGAAGGAATCGTTGTCTTATTACTTTTAAAGTGGTTTCTTTTGCAACTCGAATTTTTTCTTATCAATAATTCCAAGTAGTGATGCTATCCCACCCCCAATAATAGCAGCAGCGTCTTTCTAATCTTGCAAGGTATTAGCAGGTTTCTTTTTCTTCAGATTCCTAATCAACGATGGATTATTTGGATTTTCTTTGAGGATCCTTACTAATTCATATTTTATCAATAGTCTTTTGAATATTTGAGCGATATCTGAATCATGAGAAACTTTTAGCATTCTTTCAAATTTTTCAGGTTTAATAGCATTTGCCCTTAATAGATGTTTTAATCTATTAATAGCAGATAATCGTCTATCCTCATCTAACAGTTTGTTCTTAAGCTGTAAAAGCTGCAATGTTGTCCTTGGTGTTGCTTTTAAAGTCAAAATATTATCTTTAAATTTGTTCATGTTAATTGGCTCAGAATTAGAAGTGTTTGTAACTTCTATTGCTTGCTTTAGTCTGGTATTTTGCTTTTTCCTCTGCATTCCTACTGATTTAAAATTCAAAGCTTTGAATGAATCTTCTTCTGGCTGAATATTGGAATTTTCCTGAAAAAATTTTGACCTTCTTCCTCCAGATGTATCTTAGATAGAAGTTACTTATAATACTCCTAACTATGAATCCTTTTTTTCATTTCTTGAATTATTTGACAATTACGATTTGGGGGATAGCATACTCTAATCAAAGTTAGACCCTGCTTTATTATGAAAATAACTTTCCACTTTTTAAAGTAATCTAGATTTCCTTCTTCTATTTAAATTCTTGCTATCACTTTCATCTATCAATTTGTCTAACTTTGAAAGCTGCTTTTAAAATGGATCATCAGAATTTTTATGGCGATTGATTTGATCAGTATTAAGATTATCATGCTTTCCAGACCTTGTATCTATCTTAAGATCAGATTTCCTTTTACTTACCCTCCTTGTATCATCATCTGAATCATTTAGCATTTATGTTGTCTATTTTCTCTAATGAAGAATGCTCATAGCCTATCTTACATCATGAGACTCTTTCTTTGGCAACCCTGAAATGTTTCCTAGATTATTAGAGGACTTTAGTTTGCTTTTGTCATTTGGATTATTACTACTATTATTCGCTTTATTTCTAAAGGATGATTATTATCTTCTTGCCTGTAATAATTCTCTCGGATCAAGCTTTTTTTTATTTGGATTTGAATTTGAAAATGACTCCTCAGATGAAAATGCTGAATCTGAGCTAGATGATTTCCCCCGCAATGTGAGATGAATTGTAGATAAGTCATCTTGAATGACTTGCATATTTTTAACATCTAAGTTGAAAGGACAGTAATAAATTACATCAAGTAGTTAGTTTTTACTTAACCTGTTAGCTAAAAACATTGATATTGGTCTTAGATCATGACTAACATTATCATAATTTTCATCCTCCTCAATTTATTCTTGCAGCTTATCTAGGTAAAGTTTGTTTTCTTTATTTTTCATAAACTAAATCAAAACATCCATTGTAAAGAGTACTCTTTCATCTTTTATTTTAGAAAAAGTGTGAAGTCCTCTAATTCCTGTTGTCTCCTTGATATTCGCTTAGTTTTCTTTTAAATAGTTTTTGATATCATCATTTCTAAGATTTTCTGTTTAAGTTTTTAAAATTTGGATCCTTTCCAATACATTCGATAAGAATGGATATATTCTTGTTTTTACTGATTTATCTCTATTCTACCAATAGAATTTATCATCATTTATGTATCTAAATTGCCAGGCTTCATCTGATTGTCTTGATATTTAATCCATAAGGTCACTGATTAGATAGAGGAAGTGTATGTCTTGATTAAGATCAATACTACATTATTTTCCTACTACGAAGATTTCAATATCCCTTTAGATATTTTTTAGATTCTTTTTTTTGTGCCTAAGTTGCTATCTAATGCTAAAGCCTTTTTCCTCTACATATTGCGCTTGAGGAGCATTATCCATTGATTCAATATCGTCTAGTAATCGATCTAAATCATCAGTAGTTCCTCTTCAAGCCATTAGTGTAGTTGCATTTGGATCATTATCTGAGTATATCTTAGATTACCTGCTTTAAAGTGCTTTCTTCTTTTTCTTCTCTTACTAATCAAAGAACATTCTAACTTAGTTCATGTTTAAATTGAACGTTCTCAGCATATTATCAAATGTTTTTAGTTTATTCTTGATCTCATTTAGAAGCTTTGGGCTTTCGTTATAGTATTTTCTCCCTTTTTCAATCATTTGGACTGCAAATGGTTCGACTGGATGAAACTAGATTTCAAGGCTCGAGACACAATGCAAAAATACAGTTTAATTGGTCTCTATATCATATCTTCTTACCCAATTTGGTGGTAGTGGAAGACACATCATATACTGTGGAAGCCAAAGCAAATACGACTCATTCAAAATGTCAATTCCATAAATTTCTGCCATGCTAAGGATTTAGAACATATCTAATTGCTTAAAGACAAACGATTCAATGACCTCTTTTGTCTTTAAGAAATCGCCGAAGTTGTTTTAATAATATAGCAAAGATTCCTTCTCTAATTCTTGTATAATTTGAATTTTTTAATCAAGTTCTTACTTCTCAAGTTCGGTTTTTTATTCTGGGAGATTTTATCTCTCCAATTTCACTCTATTCAACATAAATTAAAAGCGATTCTTAGATCTTGAGTTAGTGCCTAACAAACTCTCAGACATAACTTATTTAGGTTTATCCTTCTTTTTGAGATTCCTTGTGTAAAAATCAATAGAAAGAGCTCCGTATACTGCCCTATACCTAGCTTTTTGATATTCTTGAAATTAGATTTCTCTTCTCTCTTTACATTACTTGAGTATTTTTATATATGTCTCATCCATTGCAATGTCCTCTTAAGTAACTTAATGATTTAACTCTTATTCTAAAGTCAGTATTCTAAGAAATAGCTTCCTAAAATAAAACCTAGCTGGATGTTCTCGCGTCTAGTAATTCTCTTCTACGTTATTATATTATGTGTAGCCATCTATATCAGTCTCTCTTTCCCAGCCACATGGAAGATTCATAAGTAACAGTTGTTTGAAAAACCACCAATATTTAGGTTTATCGAGATCCATGTCAAATCCAATTTCCTTCGCTACATGTTCAACTTCCTATTACATTTTCAATAAGCCAATTTAGAATTCATCAATGTAATTTAATAATCATGGCAGGATTCGGGAAACTTACATCTTAGCCAAAGTAGAATTCCTCGTTTTTACCATCCTTTGTCATGGTAATTTTCATGAGCTGGTTCCCCTTAGGCTTGGCAATACTTTTCTTAAGTGTCTTTCTATATTTGAGACTTTTAACTTTATTAGTATTCATTACATTAAATTTCAGATGTACTGCAATTTACATACCTATTTTAAATTATAGACATTTATTCTTATTTGACCATCAATTATTGTAAGAAGGGGTTTTGGGGTTTTGGGG